TAAAAAAATAATTACCTTTCTTATTCTTCTTTTGTAAAATAGGAACATATACTTAAAAAATTCTATATTATTTTATTTATGTTTTGATTTGAGATATTTATGTGTTTTACTTTATGTTTGATTCATCTTGATTTGACTAAAACTTTTTAATTTTAAGCATTTATGAAATACAAGTAAGAGTTTCTTTATTTCTTAATTTTTCTGTTTTGATTAATGTTGATTCGATTTATGCTTCTTTTTTTTCTTTTTTTTTTGACAAAAAAAAAGTAGGTTAAATACATGTTTGCAATTTACAACATCATTTTATTTAATTTAGTATTTTGAAATTGATTATCTTATGGGAATTCTCGTACCATTCCTGTCTCATCCCGTTATATCCCGTTCTCATCCCGAATGTTAAATGGGACATAATAGGGACATATTTTTTTAGTCCCAAAAATTTCGTTCCCGTGAAACCTCGTCTCATATTCCCGTTTTCCCACCCCTAGTCAGAATGTTGTGAAGATGATGCAGAGATGACCGGTGTCCATTCCGAAGCTTTTATGTGCGCTCTTCTGGAAATGTTTGAGGGACTCCACATTCTGTTGTTAAATACCAAGTCGTTGCGAGTTTTCCAAAGACTCCAGAGGAGCCAGAATAGGCTAGTGATTTGACTTGATGAGAGAGGAATAGTGGTGGTATCAGTACATAACCATTTAATGTTATCTTCAATGTTATCCAATATGATATGGTTTCGGAAAGGGTTTGGTTGGAAGGTATTCCATAAGTAGGAGGCTTGGGAACACTTGAAATGTACATGGTTGGGTGTTTCTTGTCCTCATTATAGTGTTGACAAAGGGGGTCAATCGGAATGCCGCGGAGATACAAGGTAGAAGCAATGCCAATTCCGTGAGAGAGAGATTTCCATACGAAGAATTTTTTTTGTTTTGGAGGCAAAGGAAGAGACCATACTTAACTTAATATTTGGATCGCAAATGAGAGGATGAATTGTCTCTTCTCC